TTGTATACTTGCAAATCGCCTCGCTACATAAAACTCACTCCGCTACTTGAACATAAAAAATCAGTCAGCTACTTGAAAATTGTTCGGCTACTTGAGAATCGCACATCTACTTGACAATTGTTCCGCTATCTTGAAAATTGCATGTTGTAAGGTAACCTTCCGACCTGAAAATATGACCCGGAAGTACAATATGCACTGTACACCATGTACGAGTTTTTTGTCGTACGCAAAATCTCACCCATAAAGCCCATGCAAAAATCGTGGTCGAGGTTCGGTCTTTAAAGCGGTATACTCAATCATAATTTGATATAAAATGAGATATACTTTTCACGTTTAAGTTGTTCATGACGGGGGATGGATTTGGAAGTTTGGTTAAAATAGCCATACCAATAGTGCTAAAAATGTATGTCTTATCACGTCAGTGCCCGGACAACTCGTCCAGTCCTGCAGAGTCTTAGCAGTGTGCGTGTCTACAACTACAACGAGTGCAAAGTTTTCATTCGAGGCGGAGTCAGATTTTTCCACATTCAAACATTCCTAATGTTTCAAATGTTTAGAGTCGGGGATGTAGTCTTTCATGAGTATGGTAGTCATCGACTCTGCCAACTAGTTGTACAACTTTTAACCAATGAAGAGACAGAATTCAGTTCCATAACGAGTTATTTAACATTAAACACTATTTGGAATAACAACAATATTTCTATACGAAGTATAATAATTTATAATACTCAAGAATGCACAAAAACTAATCATGTAATTTGGTTGACAAAATCTCGATTGTCAAACTGGATATATGCAAGTTGTACTATATCGTATAGTAGAAACAACCCGGGCGAAGATACTGTTTATGGGCTCAGAGGTACCAAGTTCGGGGAATTATCCACAGAGAAGACACACAGAGAATCGAATCGTTTCAACCTCAGAAGTCTCATCTCAGCGCCACGTCGGAACTCTCCCAAGTCCGCGTTGAGACTGCGTGCCTCGTGGTGAGCTTGCAAAGACTAACTGAGATCAGCTTTATTCACTTTTCAACTGTTGGCCAATTACAAGCGAGTTTAAGAGCTCGATGCGTGGCCTCCACACATATAGCCAATCACGCAAAGTACTCAACACGCCATAATGTCTAATCAATTGCCCCTGATGTCGGGAAATAACTCTCATATTTATAGGCGTCTCGTTGACTTAACCAACTTCCATAGTCGACCATTATATCAGCCAGTTGTTCCAATCACTAATTCCCCAACATACGAATGAACCTGATCATGACAAGTTACGAGCAGGTGTGGATTACCCAGGGGTCATCAGTGAAAGTCGTTTTGGCTGCAAAAAGCGGCCTCACCGAAATACATGAAAATATAAATCATGACAAATAACTTATAATTGCAAAACCATACGGATATCTATAATATTTTAACTCTATTTATATCCAAAAAACAATAGTGTTAATTAAAAGAACAGCGTTACGTTAAGTTAAGGAGCTCCGTGTTTATGTCGATACATGGCTCTGGATTTAAATTTCAAAAATTGAATAATTGTTGTTACCGTGATTGTCATGTAGCCGTCGGTCAATTTTCAAGAAACGGAGCAATTTTCACGCAGCCAACCGGCTTTTTTTCAAGTAGCTGAGCGACTTTCAAATAACGGAGGGATTTCCATGTAGCGGACCAATTGTATATATGGGCCACCGTAATTTATATTTGCATTATACATTATTAACGATGGACGCCCGAATGATATAAATTGGACTCGCTCAAACTGTGCAATTTATAATTTTAAACATTCTGGTTTGCCTGGTGCGGACACATTGTACTAAAAGTAATTTTGAACCAAATGACTAAACCAAACCGAACACAATTTACAGTCGACGTTGAGTTCGGTTTCTGTTCGTCCTTTTTATAATCATATGAACAATCACTGATGTGAATTCGTCGGACAGAAAATCCAATAATCCATAACTTTTGGTCGATTGCGGTAGAATGATTCACATTACATTAATGAGAAACAAATCTGTTGGTTTTGTATACTAGTATAGCAAACGGCGGTTAATGAAGTAGTTGACCTAAATGACTCGGGTGCCACAAGTCCTAAACATGCATACACCGTCATTAAGCATTAAGCACACCACTAAACCTAGCAATGATTGGGCATGTCTGAGCATGAGACGGCTAACACGGAACACGGTGCTCATTTCATTTAATTAAGATCTATTTCAGTCTGTGGTAGTAATATTAGCCAGTTGTCTACACGCGTAATTAGATATTCGTTGCCGCGAACGATTCAAACTCCAGCATGCGCAATTACACGTTCTGTACATGATATTCATAGTTTTTAAGATGCTTTTAAATATCTTAAAATATCTTAAATATGTATGTGCTTTAACCATGGAGTCTGGTAAATCTGTGTTTTGCAATTTCGCTTTTTAGTTTGATAAATTGTTAACTATATAAAATCATTTGGGACAATCGGGAGTTTTGGAAGAGATGATGGTATCCTGAACGCAAAGCTGAATTTCGTATTATTGAAAACAAAAAGTGAAATCGCATCCCAAAGAATGCAACATCACTCGGATGACGGTGTTATTACAAAAATTAGAAACCTTCATGCGAACTTAAATTGTAAATTGAATTCTATAACAGACTGTGATATGATCTCTTTCTCTATTGTATGCAACGCACAATATTTATCACTTCAAACGCATTATCGGACGATGTCGGAATCCCATTCTATATTATCCTAAACAGCCATGCGTAAGAGATTTGATCACTTTGGGGGTAATTTGCATAATCGATTAAAATGCTAATTTGAGTATTATCTGTCGAACGTAGCTATATATTAAAAGAATAGGTAAGACGGAGTGAATGGTTATGTGTGTAATGTAAGCAGTTATGACGTAGTCGGGAATTTCACGTTGTGAGGTATTGATTGCAAATTCGGTTTTCTCTTCCAATTACTCTAATTAGATTTGCTTGCTTTTCTTATACTTTGATTCCTTCATGTATACCTTCTGCTTACACATTTAACGCATTTGAAATGTTGTTCTTTTTGTAATCGCCTTAATGAGTACAACGTACACGTCAATCAACAACTGTCAACAAGAGAGCCTTTCAGTTATTCTACATACAAATTAAATAGCGACCGTCCCATGGCACTGAGAACAAACGTGATATATAAACATGTGGACGCACTTATGTCTACAACATGCGTTTTGTGACATGTGATGAGTTAGCAGAAAAATGCATCTTTGGGTCTATTTTAAAATAATAATTCTAGAAATGTGGTATAGTTATGTACCATTGAACACATTGACCGCGCATAACTAGCAAAACAATTGTTTAATAATACTTATTTAGACAAAACTCTTCCGAGACCATTTGTTGTTTTTTAACTAAAGTATATCAAGACAAATGTATGTTGAGTATTTAACAATCACATTACGTGATTCATAATTACTCGACAGAACCATGATTAATAGATAGAATGATGTTGTCAGGATATATTTAATAATAATAGATTTGGTTATGCTTCAAATACAACCATTTTTATTGTCAAGTTGTTTATTATGTTTTTCATCAAGTCAACTATACTTCTACTGTACTTAATAATCGATTGAAGATGAATAATTGTTGGTACTCTTGAACTGAACCGTTGAACACACTGAAATATATATCGAGCACTGTTCTTCTACTGACAAGAGGAAGCAACACATTAATAACGATCCTTGATTGTACTTTTCCACTATACTTTTCGTTGATGGACAAATCCATTTATATGACCAAACATTGGTATATTTTACAAAATAGAAACGTCTAACATCATCCATTTTAGATCATTGTTTTTATAATTTACATATACAAAATCAATCTAACATGCCTTGGTACATTTCTGTGTTTGAAAAAAGCGACATGCGCTGAGCCATAATTTATCTCTTTCCGATTACTCTTCCCATTTCAGTCATCATCAATATAATGTGGAACAGCGCACAGACACGAACAAATGATCCGTGTTGATTGTACGTACAAAGCGTGAATTTAGTAAGTATTAATCGTTATATATATACTGAAGCAACCGGAGACTATTCCTGTTTCGTTATTACGCACGACTGATGGGCAACGCTAATCGCGAGTCCGACATTAACTCAATTTAAAATGAGCAATAAAGAGAGTGATTTGTGGGTGAGAAGGAGATGATAGAATTATGCAAACATTTATTTTTTGGGTTAATTTCCAACCAGTGGATTTTATTCTAATGAATTAATAAAAACAACTATTCTTTTAAGCTAACATTCTTCAGGCGGGATAACTGTTATCACATCCTTGCAGTATGTTAGTTATAATAGCTGTCAGACAGACCCTGTCTGACATTCACTATTCATCAGTGTCCCCAGTTGCAGCAATAATCTCTGATCTACTAGGCAAATACTAATTGCTTATTTCTTTGTAGGTTCAATAATCTGCAAGGGGCAGGTTTTCGGCGTACCAGCACAATTATGAAGATTATAGTTGTGTGATTCAAGTAGACTTCACATCGTCTCACTGGTTGTCGTTTTGCCTAGGAAATGCGAGCAAACTAATAGATCTTTCCATTTGGATGGTTCTTCGCATATCTATGGGTATTGCGCGTAGCAATTGTCATCCCGATCACCAGGAAGATAATTGAACTATTTATTTCCCGCGATACCGTAATTGGATTTCAAAATAAACGGATTACGAGGAATTGAACTCGAAACAACTTAGAGCGTCGGTCTTTTCCATCTAAATGCTCACAGCATTCGCTCATTACACAGATTATTTTGTTATTAATAACGCCCTACTCAATTCACTGTCGTATTAATTGTTACAGATTTAACAATATATCACGTGCACCACTGACCTAAATTACAAGAAAATCAACATTAACTTCGACTGACACAAGTATGGTTTACGGTGTTTATACGAACGCACTCTTAAAATAGGGGGTCCCGCGATCATTGACCGATGTTGAGTGTGCCCTTTGGTTGAAACTTATAGTCGTATTTCCATGACGAAAGAGTCTTTTGTCTTGGGCTTCTTTTCACCTTTTCTATAATTCTCTACATTTCTTTCAGCGAATATGTTAGTCTGTGTTTTGTCCGGTTCATTCGAGAAGACAAGACTCACAGTTCCACGTTTTTTCAGACGTTTTCGCTTCGACCGTTTTCCTCCATTCGAAACATTTCTTTGCGTTTTGCATCGGCAGTGAAGGGATGCTTTGAATGATTTTCGATACGTGTGACTCAAAAAACAATAACATATCGGGTTGAGCGATGAGCTGCATAATCCAAGCCACTGTACGAAGGGGAACAGTTTCATGGCTTCATCTACCGGGTGGTAGTCCGTCCAGATCGTAGCGACGTGATACGGAAACCACGAGATTGCAAATAGTAAGACTACTATTATCAGGAGCTTAATAACTTTACTTCGACTTTTATTCCGCGCTTCCAGCTGTTTATCAGGGTTTGCGCTTTTACCTAATTCGACGCTATTATTTGTCAACGCTTTGAAAATCATGGCATATGCGACGAACATGAATAACATGGGCAATGCAAACTGGATCAAAAACAGAGACATGTTATAGGCGTGTTTCAGATACATCGATCCCCATTCTTCTTGGCACGAAGTCACCTTCACTACACCGAAGAATTCCTGTGTGACTAAGCGATTAACGATGAGTATAGGAATCATCAGTATTAGTGATATAATCCATATTATTATTATCAAGATTCGTACCCGACGTCGAGTGTACAACACCTTGGCCTTCAATGGACTATGGATTGCATAAAATCTATTTAAACTCACTGCAGTCAGGATGAAGACGCTGGAGGAAACTGACATCCCCTGCACACATGGAGTAAGCTTGCACAATACTTCCCCGTAAATCCATTCCTGATATATAACATTGCCCAGTGTTATCGGCATGCACACCAACACCACAATAAGGTCGCACACAGCTAGGTTAACAAGAAAGCAATTAATGATCGTTCTTATATGCTTGTTGCGAATCCACGCCACAATGACGAGCGTGTTGCCGATGGAGCCCAGGGTAAATGCGACTGAATAGAGCAGGATGAGCGCAATAGTAGAAGGGGAACGGTGAGTGTACATACCCTGGCGAAATAACTGAACAATCTCGTCGGCCGAATAGTCCAAGGAAAACTTATCCAAATCCGTGCCATTGCGTTCTGTGTTGTTACATCCATAACTCAACACTTGGTCGATTTCGGGATCGAGCACTATGTCCAGTAAAAGTTGTTCTACGTTCGCACTATTGTTACAACCCATGTTGTTTACCTGATGTGCGGAGCGTGATCGCCGAATGAAGGTTATTATACTTGCGTGGCTGATTCTACTGAGCATGAGCAATGTAGTGTTCGGTGACGATGTTCGTTTTTATGTTAGAACACGCGTCAGCGGGTGAGTAATATTAGTTGTGTATACTCCCGTCTCAATATTTCAATATTAATTATTTGTTTCTTATACATTTTAATTATTGTAATTTTCCGTGGAAGTTAATTATTCCTTTTTTATTTTATTTTTATTTCATTTTTATTGGTATTTCGTGAATTTTAGACTGGTTCAATGTATTTAATCGTTTTTTATTCTCTTTTTGAAAAGGTGATTTGTCTAAGTTGCCGTGTGACCTCATCGCATTATGGACAGCAGCCGAACACTAACACTACTGGTAACCACTAATTAAACATTTTATTTTGTTGAAGAAAGAAGGTGAAAACCCGAAACTCATATGGAGAAGAGGTGATCTGATATGTGTAATGTTATGATTCAGAAATGGTTTTATAAATTATATATTTAGCAAACTGCTCACTCAAATGCCACAATACTACACAAAGGTTTCAAACGCTCGACCGATGGTCAATTAAGCTCAAAATTAAAATCAGAAATCTTCAAACATTTGAAAAAAAAGGAATTATTGACATTATCAAATATTATATCCATTTCTTTACAGCATTATCTGGTTGGATCACGCCGATTGTTCTTCCGGACAGCGTACTGTGCGTAATATAGTATGGTGTTCGTAACTGCTATTCATGAACCAATTAGCACAACCGCCGGTCTCTCCGTGTATATCGACACGCTTTCTTTTACATTGAAATGTAACAATATAGCCTACATGGCCTCTAGACAGAAGAAATGCACAATATCATTGTTAATTCGAGTTGTTCAATTTAGACACTAGTGTCATGACACTGTGCTAAACTAAAAAAAACATATACAGTGTGTATATTCCATAATGCACGGCAGTGTCAGGTTTAGACCATGTCATGCTAATTTCAGTCTAATGCATCGATAAGTGCGATACTGTCATTACATGTAATAAACAATCTAGTGGTTTTATTGGTCCATTCAAGCTGATTGACTAAATGGCTGACATTCTTAAAGGGCGGTGGTCGTCGAGTCGCGTCCTGTTGGATATGGAATGTATACAACGCAGCGCGGTGACCACCGCCCTTTAAAACAAGGCGTCAAATAGCTCAATAATGTGTGATTTCACATTTTACCTCGGCAGAATATTGATTCTGTTAGATGTCAGTTAAAATATGCGCGTGCTTATAGTGTACGTGAAGTACCGATTCACCCCACCCCAGATTATCCACGCGGTCTAAGCACATTTCATTTGTTAACTAATTGAGTCGACTGAACGTTAACAGATTGACCAATGGCATAGAAGACAGATTGTCTCGACAAACAGTAAACAATTATTAATTGGTGGGCGATGACGTCACGTATATAAATTTCACAATACGCTACGTCCCCATCCTGCAGCTAATCACTAATAATAAGCCCCCCCCCCCACATTTGAAATCTCACATATAGTTGCAAGAGAATGTCAACCACAAATTAAAGCATAATCATCGTAGGAAAATCAGTAGCTCAAAACTAGGGAACGAAAAATAATATTTTTCTGCGTAGTTCTATCCCAGACTTTCTAGTGGTCGTTTTATAATTGGAATTGGCACTTTCTACATGGCAGGACACTGAAAAAATACGGCACGGCACAGTGTATGAAAATACGGTGACGATATCTCTATTCCCTGATGTCTAATTAGTCTTTAGTAATAAGACGATCACAAAATTCGACATCCTCTTAATATAGTGATTTTAAATTCTAATTAAATTTAATTATTATTTATTAAAATATTAGATAGAATTTGTCAATGCTGCATGTTTGCAAATATTTATCCTGATGTATTTTTCGACAAACACTATTTCTGTCGCTTGTGTTTGTTTTGGTGTCACATTTCCGTTTATTCCATTTTTTATCAATTTTGGTATTCTAAAATTCATAAAACAACTCTATGGAGAGCACTAAACACAACAACAAAGATTTTCTGTTTTTGACATTGTGAAATTGTTTCCTTCATTTTGGAAAATAGCCCGAAATCCACTGATTTTGACAAGTTATGTCAGAGATATATTAAGGATATTCCAAAATGAAATATATTCCATAAACGCCAATAATAATTTTCGTGATTACCGATTACATTATTAAAATCAAAAGATAATTTGGTATATTCTCAATATGTTTGCATTTCATTTTTCTTATGACTGAAAACAGCTGAATAAAATTACAACATATTTAGCGTATATGAACAATAACTTTAACAAATACGGTGTTTTCTCCTGTAAAAACGAAAGAATTAAACTATTCGTGATTTGTTTTTGTTACCCATATATCTCATCTGAGTGTTCTGAGAGTCACTTTACCCTAAAACAAGCACAGTGTACACAAATGGGGTTTTCGACTATTTTAAGCTAAATGCTTTGAAATTCTAAGACAATGTATGGTTTTGGAAAACAGGTGTTCGAAATCGGTGTTAATTTATGCAAATTTGAAGACTTTCTGTGATTATTGAATACGTCTCACAAATTATGACATCTGTGTCGTTTGATAGTTACGAAGTTGATATCAGATCCGTGAGCATACAAATTTGTTTATTAAATTTGAAATTGTACGGTTTCTCGTTTAGCATTCTGCAATATATTATAACATATACATATGAATGCTGAGAGTTTCGTCGGTTCTAAGCACTGTCTGAGCACGGTCTGGCGTAGATCTCATAATACATGTTTTGGTACCTATATTTTAAATGTCATGTAAACAGTTGAACATCCATAAATTTTTTTAAATATATTTAATTTAATCATTAACTCTTATTGAGAGAGTCCTTATCCTGTACTTTGACTTGACCAGATTGGGGTTAACTTGCAGGCTGATCACGCATCGTCTAATGAATACTCATAGACCTGTGGACTAGCACTAAAACTATGATGGCTGGCGATATTTCCTGATTTACGAAGCGTGAAACATTTATTTCTCCCTGGGCACCATTAACAATAAATCAGAAGCAATAATACACGAAGAATTGTTTTTAACGACCACAATGGTATTGTAGTTATTTGCTATAACATTTCTTTTTACAATCCTGTCGCGATCTCTGCAGAAACACTCTATTATGTCTGCCTGGAGTGGCAGTTATGTGTATTGTAATTATTTTTTTCACATTACTACAAAATTATTAGTATGCCAGACATTTTGTTACCCCCCTAGGAGTCATTTAGTATTCTCTGAGCAATTTGCATATTCAAAAGGCCGTGTCTATTGGACAAGACGTCGTACGTTCAATGTTCTTACAATTCAAATCTCAATACAGTTGGTTTGGTGACTTCAAGCAACTAAACTACGTTGGTGGTACCCGGTGTTAGGTATCCCGTGACAAGCATTATGCAAATTGGCATGTCGTATCGCAATAATCACATTCTGACTCATAACGAAAAAACATGGCATTTACTCACACGTAATAAGTTAAACATCATTGTGTATGTGACAACTTGGCGAATAAAATGAAAAAAAAAACACACCACGAGATTCGCTTTTCCTAGGCATTCGTTTTCTCCATTAGACATGTGTGTTTAATTCTTGTCAAGGTCCGGGACTATCAGTACTGCAACTGCAATATATACGTACAGTGAACGGTCATTGCGGTAAATGCATTCACATATTCACGAAGTAAGAATATTCGAACTTAGTGAGTCACTGACACCTGCATGGGCTATGCTCAGCTTTGAAGCCATGCCTTCCGGTGAGATTAAGGAAATTAGAAGAAGAATAAAAAAACGGAATAAAAGTCGTTAGGTGCGAATGAGTAACCAGAGACTGTCCTCTAGTCTTGGTACGGTTAATTGGTAATTACATTCCCTCCACTAGATACATTATTGTAGCTGTTCGTCACCCCGAGGGGGGGAGTGGTGGCAGAACTACGTGCTTAGTCTGACACGCTGTACTCTGTATTCAACACCGTATGCAATTAGGTCATGAACTCAGAAACACCTCAGACCAGGTTAGTTATAATAACGGAAGTTATTTTTGGTTTAAGGGGCTTCCGTTCATTGAATATTCACAAAAGTCAATTGCACATTTGTACACTGATTGTTTTCGAGGCAGTAGCACTATGACGTGTCACCTGCAAAATAGAAAATTCAGCGATCAGATTGCATCAAGTTGATGACAACGAGCTCTTCTGAGCTGTATGCAAGTGGCTGGCTTTGTGTGATTACCCAGACAGTCTCCTTTCTATAGATCTTTGCGCGCTCAATCTAAAATACCCCTGCCACATGCAGCCTCCAATTATGTGGTAATTCACCTCACTGCACACGGCCATTATCCGTGAATGTTCTACTCATGTTGAAAACGACTATAAAATTGTAAATAAATAGTTTGTGGCAGCCAAACTTTTTAGTAAAATCTGACTTTTGTAAAAAACACGTAAATAAAAACACTTTCATCGTGACTGTGTTGTGGTGAGGCATATAATAGTGAAATCGACACACGTGATGCACCTAAGCTGGGAACAACATTGCCTTTATTTATGTAGTTGGGAAGAAATATTAAACAGTATTTTCACTCAAAAGAATTTTCTTGTTTCTCGAACGAATTTGATTTTTATAAATGATACTGTGACGTCAGTAATTTGTTATATGAACCAATGCCTAAATAACTTGAAAACATACTTCACTATTCAGATTTAGGGCCTGGTAAGGTGCTATCAAATTAGTAAAATGGTTGGTAGACAATGTTAGTCGATGAAAAGGAATGGTTCGAACAAATTCGAATATGCAAAGTAGGCATCTGCAAATATGTCGTATTGTGTAGTGATGTTACATTACACGTATCAAACTGTTATTTTATATCATATCTCATTACTTGATAAAATGTTTAATAAAGTATTCTAAGTATACATACAATCGTTCAAGGGCCCGCCAAA